TTTATAAAACAACAACATGAAATGGCCACATTCTGCGTATTCGAGAGAACGTGAACTACGGCGGCCAATTTTTAGAATCTCTTCTTCGAATTTTGACGCTGCCTTACATATTATGTTTGGGATATCTTTGAAAGCGATAGACAAAGTGGACAAATCTAAATTCTAGCGACATTTTTAGATTGAATATAAAGTTTCCACGGCGTTGTTGTCGTTGTTGCTTAAACTATTTGCTTTTTGGACGGCAAGCTTCTGTCTTCACTTTGGACCGTCTGTTTGTTCGGTTGCGTTGTGTTCGGGCGTTCGTTTGTCGTTTGCTTTGCACTCATTTGGCTGCTCATTTCTCCGACGTTCGTTCAGTTTTTATTGTTTGTTCAGGGGATATCAGTCTCTTATTTATCTCCTATTAAAGTTTCGAAATGTATTAAAACATAGCGAACGCCTGAGCTCCTTAAAATATCAAAGAAGACATCCCCACAGCGTTGGAGGCTTTCCTTCGCTCTGAAACGAAACGAAACATAAACAAATCCTCCAGGAAAAGATCCACAAGCGAGTAATCTCCGCGGACAAACTGGGTACTATGTCTAAAAATAACTTAAGAGGGACTACCTTGGGTATAAGGCCTATATATGGGGTATTCACTCTCTCACCTTGATAATCTCTTGGGAAATTATAAAATTCATGGCGAAAGTTGCTGTATGTAGTGGTTATTTCTCCTTTATATGACGTCATCGTTCCATGTTATGGACGTCAAAGGAAATATACTTTGAACGTGCTATAAATCTCTAAGATTAGTTGTTATAACTTAAATGTCCTAGGAGTGTAACAAGGAGAACAACCCCCCAACCCCTTCTCCCGGTCTCAGCAGACTCTGAATGGGTTGGTCGACTGCGGCCAGGTGGAAAATATTGAATCGACTCCGGACTGACAGTGGGTTATTGACAGAAGCATAATCAAGGGCTCTTTATTATTGACTCGGCTCGAGCACCGGTTAAAACCGTGTAGAAATGAAATGAAACCTAAAGAGCTCGCAAGCGAGTCTCGTGACAAGACGCCTATTGACAGAACTAGTCAAACTAGTGAAGGTCACTTTGCAATTAGGCTCGATTACCAGCCGCTGTTCAGGAAAGGAGCCCGCGCTCCTCTCTCGAGGGGGAACCAAGACCGGACTAGAGAGGGCGCGGAAATCAAGCATACTTTGTAATTCACTCACACCGTAATAACTTCAGAGTTTTTCTCTTTGATTCTGTTCTGTTAACTAAAACGACTTTTTTCATAATTGGAATAAACTGGTAAACACAATTAACTTAGCTTTTTTTATTATTTTGATAGGGGATATTATAAAGGGAAAGGTGTCTCGAAAGATTCAGGAAAGGGGAATAAGGCTGTCCATAAGTTGCTCGGCAACTTTTGAGCAACTTTTCAGATTTGGAGCAACTTTTAGCCTTCGAACAACTTTTCGGATTTCGTGCAACTTTTTTCTTTTTTGAATAACTTTCTTGCTTTTTTAAGGCAATTTGTAGCGAAAAACCGCCCATTCAAGTTCTAATTTAAAGCATCAGTTGCTTTTAANCCTTGGGTATAAGGCCTATATATGGGGTATTCACTCTCTCACCTTGATAATCTCTTGGGAAATTATAAAACCCATGGCGAAAGTTGCTGTATGTAGTGGTTATTTCTCCTTTATATGACGTCATCGTGCCATGTTATGGACGTCAAAGGAAATATACTTTGAACGTGCTGTTTCCCCTTGGGGGAAACAGCTTTAGAAACGGCTGGCGTTTTCGACCTCGTGACTAAATAGACCAATTTCGATATATTAAAATTCAGCCTAAAACAATAGACCCCAGTACGAGGCTCTGGGGAATAACTACAGAGTTTGTGGGGTTTATTCCCCAGAGCCTCTTGCTGAGGTCTGTTGTGTTAGGCTGAATTTTAATATATCGAAATTGCTCTATTCGCCGGCAGTTCCACAGCAGTCGTCTTTTGTGCCCGAAGAAGTCAAGTGTGAAATTCACTTGCAATTGTCATTGGTGATCTAATTTTGAGGAAGGAGCGTACAAAGTTGTCTGGTGAATTGCGTGACAAAAAAAACCCAGTCAATCAAGTTTATCGTTAACTTCAATTATAAGCAAAGCATAAGTAATTAAAATACGCGATGGTTTAGTTCAGAGTCCACAGTCTCGTTCCCAGGCTCTTCTTTTCAGTCCCAGGGGAGACTCTGGAAACGAGGCTGTAGAGTCCATTCCAACGTCCAGAGTCCAGTCCAGAGTCTAGTCAAGAATTCAGTCCATAACTCTTAGCAAGTCGATTAAAACCGATGCTGTACAACCTCACAAGAAATATAATTGAGTGTTTCTCACTAGATTGCGAAGAGGATTTGTTGTTAACGTGAAAGGGGCCAATGGCACGACAAGAGATTGAGGTAAATTACACGACTCTGATTTTATATACGCCGCGACACACGGGTATTATATAAAAAGGAATCAAAAAACGACTGAGTCCTTGTGTGGAACTGTGACACTGCAATCAGAAATTCCCTTGTCATATAAAAATCAGCTGTAGGTCAAAACAATCAAGCCACTTTTAACCTGAATTAATGCTAAATGACATCAATAAGTAATCAACAGTTAAGTCATTGATCGTTGCCGATGATCAATGATTAATCGTCCACCAAAAATTATTTGGTCTATCGTCCCTGATTCCTTATGATGTGTATAGGCCAACCCAAAACGAGGAGCCGAACAAAACATTGTTATGTCTCAAGACACCTGTGGCGTAATGGGTAGTGCGCTGGACTTCGCCCGGATCGAGCAGTCTGGAATCGATCGTGGCGAGATTCTCGTGGGCAAGACACTATACTCTCTCGGTTCCTGTTTCTATCCAGTAGTACAAGTGGATAGGCCGTTCTTTTAAGGTTGCCTGACAGAATGCAGGGGAGTAACCTGAGACGGGCTAGCATCCTATCTAAGGGACGTA